GCTGCTTGAGAAGCTCTTCCCACACTGGGGACACTCATAGGGCCTTTCTCCAGTGTGGATGCACCGGTGTCTCATAAGGGTGCAGTTGTGCTTGAATCCCTTCCCGCAGTCAGGACATTGGAAGGGCCTCTCCTCTGAGTGAATCCGATAGTGCCGGAGGAGATGGGAGCTGGTCTGAAACCGCTTCCTGCATTTATCACACTCGTAGGGCTGTTCCCCAGTGTGGATCTTTTGGTGGTGGATCATGTGGGAGCTCTGGCTGAAGCTCTTCCCACATTCCCCACATTCATAGGGCCGTTCCCCAGTGTGGATGTGCCGGTGCTGGACGAGGTTGGAGCTGTCCCTGAAGCTCTTCCCACACTCCCCACATTCGTAGGGCCGTTCCATAGTGTGGGTCCTCTGGTGCCTGATCAAGTGCGAGCTCCGGCTGAAGCTCTTCCCATATTCCTCACACTCGTGGGGTCTCTCCCCAGTGTGGATGCATCGGTGCCTGACGAGACTGGAGTTGTGACTGAAGCCCTGCCCACAGTCAGGGCACCGCAAGGGCCTCTCCTCTGTGTGTGTGCGCTGGTGCTTGAGGAAATCAGAGCTGGTCTGAAACCTCTTCCTGCATTTATCACACTCACAGGGCTTCTCTCCAGTGTGGGTCCTCTGGTGCTGAATCAGCTTGCAGCTCCACCTGAAACTCTGTCCACACTCCATGCATGTGTGGCACTTCTCCCCATCATGGAGCTGCTCATGGAGCAGCAGCTCCGAGCTCTGGCTCCATCCCCGGCCGCCTTCCCGGCCCAGGCTGGCTCTTTCCCCCTCAGATCCCTGCCAGCTGCGTTTGCAGCCCCTCCTCGTGCGGCATCTCCAGGGCTTTTCCTCCCCGTTGCCTTTCTGCGCCGTGGAGCTGCTCAAAACGGCCTCTTCCACCAGGTTCTGCCACAGGCATTTGTCCTCCCTGCTCTCCATGCTCAGCTCCTGCTCTCGGGAAGGAAGGACAAGGACAGGATGGGATTTGCCTCCGTGCCACAGGCAAGGGCAAGGAGATCCCCCCAGGGCTGTGCTGCAGCCGGGGCCGTGCTGGGCTGGGAGATGGATCAGCACAGGGGGAAAGGGGCACTGACTTCCTCCTCACCTGCCTTAGTGTCCCTGGTCATCTTCCTCTTCCTTGCAGCCTGCCAGGGGTCAGGAATGGGAAATCCTGGTTTGGGGAAAACAAGGGATGAGCATGTTGAGTTTGAAGATCCCTCTGCCCAAGTCCATCTGCTCAAGCCACCGGACACCTGGGCTCCAGAAAAACCTCCCAAACACTAAGACTCAGCCCTGAAAAAGCCCCCCAGGAGTTCCCCGACCCTTTGGTGTTCAGCAGTTCCCCCCTGTCCCACCTGCTGGGATCACACTTGGATTGGGGGTCCCCCTTCTCCTCGGTGCCTGCCCTGCCCAGGCTGCTGGCAGTCCCAGCAATACCAAAAGCTCCCCCCTCTTGGCTCTCCCCATTTCGGGATGCCGGGGCTCTTTGGGCTCCCGGGCTCCCTTCTCCCCTCATTCTCTGCTCTGGGCTGCAGCGGCTCCAAGGAGTCCCCCCTGCCCCTCTCCAGGCTCTTGAGGCTCCCGCCAGTGGCGGCGCTTCCCCCTCTCTGGGCTCCCTACTTTGGGCTCCTGGAGGACACAGGGCTCTGCTCCTCCAGGCTGCCTCTGCCAGCAGCCGCCACCGGGACCCCCCGATGTCCCCCCGAGGGGCCTTTTCCACTAGGCCTTGGACTGCTTCATTCTCCAAACATCCCCCGAAAAAAACCCAATGCAGAGACCCCCCCCCCCCCCAGGATATCTGGGCCGAGCTCCCCCTCCCCAGTAACCATCTCATGGGTGGAGGCTCCAAATTCAGGGAGGGTTTGGAGGTGTTGAGGCACCTAAACCTGCACTGTCTCCCACAGGAGTGGCCAATGGAACAGCTGGGCTGGGGGCAAGCCACAAGGAAGGACTACCACAGTCACATTCCTGGATTCACTCCTCCACTGAGGAGCTTGCAACCTGGAGGGGATATCCCACAGGAGAGCAGCTCCATGTCACACCCCCAACACCTGCCCTGCTCCAGGGCTGAATCCAGAGCCTGCTTCTGCCTGCCTGAGAGCACAGAGGGAGCTGCAGGACATCTCAGCTCTCCCTGGATCCTTCTCTTCTCCAGGTGAGCACCCCAAGCTCTCCCAGCCTAGCTCCAGATCAGAGGGTCTCCAGCTCTTGGAGCATCTCTGGTGCCTCCTCTGGACTGGTTCCACCAGCTCCAGGTCGTTCCTGTGCTGGCCCCCAGGGCTGGGGCAGCTCTGCAGGTGGGGACTCACCTGAGTGGGGCAGAGGAGCAGAATCCCCCCCTTCTCTGCTGCCCACACTGGGGCGCAGTCCACGCTCGGGGGGGTTTAAGGACAAGGGCTTCCCTCTGCTTTCCTGGATCTGCCTTTGTCCCTTCTCTTCCTCTTCCTCCCACTCCTCCTTCTCCCTCAGCCCACCTCCTTCTCTTCTATCCCTTCTGGCTCTCCCCCTTTATCCTTCCCCTTCCCTCCCTTCTCCTCCCCCCTAACCCCTGCTCCCCCTCTCCCTTCATCCCTGCCCTTCCCTCCCTCCTCCTCCTCCCCCAGCAGCAGCCACACCCTCGGTGTCCCGTTCCCGCAGCCCTCGCAGCCCGTGGCAGGAGCGGGGATGGAGCCGTGACAGGTCGGGATGGGCAGCGCGGAGCTCTCGGCTGCTCCCAGCCACTGCGAGCAGGGGAACCCGGCCCGGGCCAAAGGAGAGGCAAACTGGGCAAAGTGGGGGCTGCACATCCAAACTGGGCCTTGCTGGGGACCCTGCCTGGCCGCTGCCAGCCCTTGGGGTTCCTCTAAGCACATCCGCCAGGGGGGGATGCACACAGGGCTGGGGGATCCCAGCAGTGGCTGAACTGGGACTGGATTCTACTGGGAGTGACTGGGAATGCCTGTGAGCATGCTGAGGGACACTGGGATATACTGGGAGTCTCTGTTAACCATACTCAGGTGACTGGAACCACACTGGGAACAGGTGGGACCATGCTGGGGAGAACTGGAACCCCATGCTGGGGGTACCTGGGAGCGAGTGGGAATGACTGGGTGTACACTGGGGACAACTGGGCATGACTGGGACCACGCTGGCAGGGACTGGGATCATCTATGGATTGGCTGGCACTATACTAGGGACAACTGAGATCACACTGAGAGGAACAAAGATTGATTGGAACCGTGCTGGGGGCTACTGGGATCCTACTGGGACCTCAGTAGGAGAAGCTGGCCAATGCTGGGAGTCACTGGCATCATACTGGGTCATTCTGGCAGCCACTGGGACTGCACTGAGGGTGACTGGGAGTGGCTGTCAGCAATTGGCATCAGGCTGCAAGCAACTCATGGCAGCTGGGAATGACTGGGAACATGCTGGGAGCAACTGGGATACACTGGGAGGGACTGAAACCACCCTGCGGGTAAATGGGAGCAACTGGAACCCTACTGGATGGTCATGGGAGCAGCTGTGCCCATGCTGGGGTCATACTGGGATCCTATGGGAAATGGCTGGGATCATACTGGGAGTGACTGGGAAGGTGCTGGCTCTGACTAGAACAATCCTGGAAGCGACTGGGAGCAACTGGGCCCCCACTGGGAGTGCCAGGGAGTCACTCTGAGCATGACTGCAATAATACTGGGAGTATCTGGGACTGACTGGGGTCATACTGGGGGTGACTGGAATCATACTGGGATTGATTGGGAGTGGCTGTGAGCGACTGGAATCGTGCTGAAAGCAACTAGGGGAAACTGGGAGCGACTGGAAGCATGCTGGGCCTGACTGGGATATACTGGGGGAGACTGGGAGTCACTGGGATCATATTGGAGGCTCCTGGGGTCATGCTGGCATTGACAGGGAGCAACTGGGATCATAATGGGGGCCACTGGCATCATACTGGGAGTGACTGGGATCATCCTAGAAGTGACTGGGATCATCCTAGAAGTGATTGGGAGCAACTGGGCCCACACTGGGAATGACAGGGAGTCACTCTGAGCATGACTGCAATAACACTGGGAGTATCTGGGACTGACTGGGGTCACACTGGGGGTGACTGGAACCATACTGGGAGTGACTACTGATCCTGCTGGGATCATCCTGGGAGTCACTTGGATCACATTTTGGGCAACTGCCAGAAGCTGGGATCATGCTGGAGGCAACTGGGAGGAACTGGGAAAGACTGGGATCATTCTGAGCTAACTAGAACTGTACTAGGCACACTGGGATATGCTGGGAGTGTCTGTGACCATACTGGGGGGATTGGAAACACACTGGGAACAGCTGGGACCATGCTGGGGGCAACTGGGAGCGAGTTGGACCATGCTGGGGGCAACTGGAAGTGATTGGGACCATGCTGAGAGGGTCTGGGACTATTCTAGAGACAACTGGGACCATACTGGGATGACAGTGACAGCAGCTGGATCCATACTGGGTGGGACTGAGATCACACTGAGGGTGATGGGAATCATACTGGGATTGACTTGGAGTGGCTGTGAGCAACTGGAAAGAAGTGGGAGTGACTTGGAGCAACCTGGGGGTGGCTGGGATAGAGTGGGAGAGACTGGGAATCACTGGGATTATATTGGAGGCTCCTGGGGTCATGCTGGCATTGACAGGGAGCAACTGGGATCACACTGGGGGCCACTGGCATCAGAGTGGGAGTGACTGCAAGTGATTTGAGTTACACTACAAGTGACCAGGATCATGCTGGGAGTGACTGGAGTTACACTGCAAGTGACTGGGATCATACTGGGACTGACCGGGATCATACTGGGACTGACTGGGATCATACTGGGAGTGACCAGGATCATACTGGGAGTAGCTACAATTGGACTGGGACTGTAGGGGGTGTGATTGGTCCCTGTCTGGGGGGTGCTGGGAGCTGCCAGGTGCATGCTGGGAGCCGACTGCACAGCCACTGGGAGGAACTGGGAGCAACTGGAAATGGCAGGATGCAGCTGCAGCAGCGGCAGCTCCCCGGTGGCCCCATGCCGGTGCCGCTCGTGGTGCCGGCTCTGGCTGTGCCGAGATCCCGCTGGAAGGGGATCCCAGCCAGGGACCACATTGACACCAACCGGGGGAACCCCGGGCCGGGCTCCGACAGCGCCACGGGCAGGGAACGCAGGGACAGGAGAACTGGGGGGACACCGAGATTTGGGGGCGGGGAGGGCACGGGGAAACCAAAGGGGGAACCAAAGGGAGAGCTGGGAGAGCAGGGAACGGGGTTTGGGGGTTCCAGGACTGAGAAAAGGGGAGGCTGCGGTGGGCAGAGGGGGGACGGGCTGGGCTAAGGGAGTTCCTGCATGCAGGAAAGGGAGCTCCAAGGGTCCCCAGTGTCCCCATTCCATGCAAAAGTTGGGAAAAGCCAGGATGGCTGGGAATAGGGGTCTCGGGTGTCCTTGGTGTGGAGGAGGGGGTAGGGAATAGGAAAGGCAGGAATAGGGGTCAAGGGGGTCTCTGGGGGAAGGAAAAGAGGGCTCTGGGGGCTGGGAGAGGCGGGATGGCCGGGAAGGGGGTGAGGGGTTGATCCTCTGCCCGGGAATGGGGGTGTGAGGGTTGTTGGTGCTGGATAAGGGGGTGCAGGGTGGATCCCATGCCCGGGAATGGGAGTGCGGGGGGATCCCGGTGCCCAGGAATGGGGTTTCAGGGCCCCCGCGGTGCTCCGGGATGGGCGATCAGAGAGTCCCGGTGCCGGGGGTGCCCCTCAGCTCTCGCCGCAACCCCGGGGCCCCAGCAGCGCCCCCAGCCCCAGCGCTGGAGCCATCGCGCTGCTCCTCCTCACTCCCAGTGTGATCCCAGTACGGTCCCAGTAGAACTCAGTCACCCGGGAGCTGCTCCCAGGATGATCCCAGTACAGCCCAGTCACTCCCACTGCTGCCATCCTCCCCACCCTTCGCTCCGTTCCGACCTGTCCCGGCTCCATCCCCGCTCCTCCCGCCGGCTGCGAGGGCTCCGGGACCGGGGCAGGAGGAGGAGGCAGGGAGGAAGAGGCGGAGCGGCAACAGGAAGCGGCGGGAGCAGAGCGCGGCCGGAATCGGGCGGCTCCGGCGCTGCCTGAACTCCGGACCCCGGGAGCATCGCCCCCCATCCCGCAGGTGCCCGGGGAGGTTCCCCCCTGTCCCAGCTGCTGGGGGTCCCACTTGGACTGGGGGTGCCCTGTCCACTCGTTGCCTGCCCTCCCCAGGCTGCTGGGAGACCCAGTTGGCTCCCAGCATGGGCCTGGTAGCTCCCAGTAACCCCCAGTCAGGGTCCAATCACACCCACTCTAACCCCAGTATGATTGTAGCCACTCCCAGTGTTATGAACAAAATTCGGTTAATATTTTTTTTGAGAAAAGTTACAAAAAAAGGCAGCCAGATCACTGTAGCTGCCGAAGCTCTTCGTGTTTTGTTATTGTAATCACGGGTCGTTGTCGTTAATGGTTGTTTTTGTATTAGTAAAAGCCCTGGCTGGGGCGAGTTAATGGCCCTCCTCAGACACAGTGAAGGGTGGGGACCTTCCCAAACTGTGAGGAGAAGGGACCTGGAGGGGGGGGGTTATGCAAAGTGACTCCAAGGACCAGAATGCTTTGTGAGACCCCCGACTCCAAACCCACGGAAAGACCCCAAAAACAACGAGCCACCTAAGATTTGAGAGACTGGAGTGATGTCTGGACGTGAGGAGCCAAATGCTGAGCCTGCAGAGACGCGGAACACCTTCGGAGCCTCTCGCCCTGACCAAGAGAGACGACCCCGGCGGTGAGACCAGGCTGACTGAGTGGGAGGAACACCATCTGGCGGGGATCAGCGGGCTCTAAAGGCTCCCACGAGGATCTGATCCCCAGCTCTGCCCCTAGTGGCAGAGCTGTGCATATCCTCCTTCTCTGAGTCGCCCTGGGAGAGAAGACGGATGCTGCAGAACTGTCGAGCTGCCCAATCCTGAGCTGATCACTTTTAATAAAGGCATTAAAAAGGAGAAGAAGTCTCCTGGCCCTGTTTATTTCACCCAGTATGATCCCAGTCACTGCCAGTCTGATACCAGTGCCCCCAGTGTGATCCCAGTTGCCCCCTGTCAATGCCAGCATGACCCCAGGAGCCTCCAGTGTGATCCCAGTGACTCTCTGTCTCTCCCAGTATATCCCAGTCACCCCCCCGCATGCTCCCAGTCACTCCCACTTTCTACCAGTTGCTTTCAGCACAATTCCAGTTGCTCACAGCCACTCCAAGTCAATCCCAGCATGATTCCAGTCTCTGTCACTGTGATCCCAGTCTAACCCAGCATGGACCCTGCTGCTCTCACTGTGATTCAAGTTTGATCCCATTTGCCCCCAACAGAGTTCCAATTGTTCCCAGTTCCTCCCATTATGATCCCAGTTAACCTGAGATTAGTCCCAGTCCCTCCCAACAGGGTCTCAGTCATGCCCAGTTGCCCTGAGCATTGTCCCAGTTGCCCCCAGCAAGATCCCAGCTGTTCCCAGTGTGGTTCCAGCCCCCCCCAGTATGGTTACAGGCATTCCGAGTACATCCCAGTTACCCCAGTAAGGTTCTATTTACCTCAGAATGATCCCAGTCTTTCCCAGTAACTCCCAGTTGCCACAGTTATAGCCTCAGTCTTCTCAGCATGGTTCCAGAACCTTCTAGACGATCCCAATTTCTCCCAATATATGCCCATTTTCCTCCCAACATGGGCCCAGTAGCTCCCAGTAAGCCCCAGTCAGGTTCCATTCATGCCCAGTATAATCCCAGTATGACTGTAGCCACTCCAGTATGATTCCAGTCACCTGCAGTCTAATCCCAGTTGCTCCCAGTCACTCCGAGTCACTCCCAGTCTGATGCCAGTACACCCAGTGTGATCTCAGTGGCTCCCAGCATGGGCCCAGCTGTTCCCAGTGTGCTTCCATCACTCCCCTATCATTACAAACACTCCCAGTATGGTCCCAGTTGAAACCAGTTGCCTCTGCTATAATCCCAGTCACTCCCCATATGATCCCAGTCCCTCCCAGCATGGTCCCACTCACTCCCAGTCGCCCCCAATGTGGTCCCAGCTCTCCCCAGCATGGTCCCAGCTGTTCCCAGTGTAATTCCAGTCCCCCCAGTATGGTTACAGACACTCCCAGTATATCCCAGTTGCCCCCAGCATATCTGCAGTCATTTCCAGGCACTGCCAGTGGCCCCGGTAAGGTTTCAGTTCTCCCAGTATGATCCCTCAGTCATGCCCAGTATATCCCAGTTGCTTCCAGCATGCATCCAGTCCTTCCCAGTTCCTCCAGTTTGCTTGCAGCATCATCCCAGTTTCTCTCAGTTGCTCCCAGTAGCCCAAAATGTGATCTCAGTCATTGACTTTGACCCCAGTATGATCCCAGTAAACTCCAGTTGGATCCCAGTCACATGCCAGCCCTCCCAGTGTGGTCCCAGTTGCTTCCAATGTCTCCCAGTATGGTCCCAGCTGCTTCCAGCATGGTTCCAGTTGCTTCCTAGATCAACCCAGTCAGTCCCAGTATGATGCCATTTGCTCCCAGCATGCTCCCAGTTGCTCCCATTCAGGCCCAGTATGGGGGAGGATGGGCAGGGTGTATTTTCAGTCGCTCTCAGATCCTCCCAGTATTAGTCCAGGCCCTCCCAGTATGATCCAAAGCTGAGGCCAGTGTGCTCCCAGTCCCTGCCAGTATGAACCAGTTGTGCTCCACATGGTTCCAGTTGATCTCTTTCACCCTCACTTTTGTTACAGTCACTCCCAGCATGTCGCAGGGTAGCCCAGTTCCCCCCAGCATGTTCCCAGTCACTGCCAGTTGGGTTTTGGAGGGGATGTTTGGAGAATGAAGCAGTCCAAGGCTGAGTGGAAAAGGCCCCTTGGGGGGACATCGGGAGTGCCGGTGGCGGCTGCCGGCAGAGGCAGCCTGGAGGAGCAGAGCCCTGTGTCTCCCAGGAGCCCAAAGTGGGGAGCCCAGAGAGGGCCGAGCGCCGTCATTGGTGGGAACCTCAAGAGCCCGGAGAGGGGCAGGGGGGACTCCTTGGAGCCGCTGCAGCCCCGAGCAGAGAATGAGGGGAGAAGGGAGCCCAGGAGCCCAAAGAGCCCCGGCATACCGAAATGGGGAGAGCCAAGAGGGGGGAGCTTTTGGCATTGCTGGGACTGCCAGCAGCCTGGGCAGGGTGGGCACCGAGGAGAAGGGGGACCCCCAATCCAAGCGTGACCCTAGCAACTGGGACAGGGGGGAACCTCCAAATACCAAAGGGGAGGGGAACTCCTGTGAGGCTTTTTCAGGGCTGAATCTTGGTGTTTGGGAGGTTTTTCTTTTCACCTGACAGGAAGCCCAGGTGTCCTGTGACTTGTAGAGATGGACATGGGCAGAGGGACCTTCAAACTCAACGTGTGTTGGGGAAGATGAAACAGGGAAGCCTTATAAATATGATTGTCTGGCAAAAGATTTTGATAATATGGAAAGTCTAAGCAAGATTGAGATGAAAGCAAGCGCTTAGATACCTTAGTTAGTGAACAATTGGAAAACAATGGTGAGGCCCGACTGAAGGTAATCCCCTTTTGATGAAACAATTCCATCTACTTGCAGACAGACCCAGGGGTCAGAGCAGAACCTACTAGCTCAGCAGGAGGAGTCCAAAGAGAAGTATTTATGGTTTGAAATGTAACACAGTATGGTGATGTAATGATTTTTATAGGCTGTATGTAAATGCTATGGGACTTATATCTTGCCCTAGATTGGTTAGTGAGAAATAGAATATTCAACAGAGAAGAAGATTCATTGTGTTGTAATAGGAACCTTACTCTCTTACGCTCCTACCCTCTTACTCCAGGATTTCCCATTGCCAGCCCCAGGGAAGGCTGCAAGGAAGAGGAAGATGCCCCAGGACCCTGAGGCAGGTGAGGAGGAAGTCAGTGCCCCTTTCCCCTCTGTGCTGTTCTGTTGGACATGAGGGGAGAACGACCATCCTATAATGCATTGAACTCAACTTTATTGATCAATCAATCACCTTAAATAACAATGGTAACGAACTTCATGCATATTCTGTAATCCAATTTCATAATAGGCTAACAGAGAAAACTCTAACCACTCCTCTTGTTTTAGAAACCTACAATTGTTTATTAAAAACAGAACCAGAGTTCCCAAAGCTTTCACATCTGTTCCCAGGGTGTCATCTTTTCCAAGAGATGGTGTTCCACTTGTTATGGGAGGACTGTCTGAGAACTTTATTGTTTATAAAAAGAGTCTAATTGTTTATAGAAATTAGAAGGCTGAGAACTGCGTTAGGAACTTTACTTTTTCCTTTTACTTTTCTCTCAATTGTATGTCTCATGGCCTTTTTCTTTAAGCCATTCTTGAACTAAACTCTCCACACTTTTCCCGTTTTTTTCTTTGAGAGAAAAGAGGTTAGCTTGCCAGGTCTTCTCTATCATCCTACCAACCATCTTTTGGATCCAACTGCAGAAGCAAGGTAAGATACTTAAAAGCAATAAAAGTACACCTAATATCCCTATAGCATATATTACAAGGTTTCTTAACCATGGTCCCAATCCTAAGCTTTTAAGCCATTCATCAATTCCCAATCCTTCTTCTTCCTTAAGGCTGTTAAGCCCTAGTCGTAGCTCTTTTAATTTAGCATGAATAGATACAGAATGATCAGATAAGTTCATGCAACACATCCCTTCAAACTCTTCGCACCCATGGCCTTGTGCTAGCAATAAAAAATCTATGGCAGCTCTATTTTGTAAAACAGCGTGATTAACACTTTGTACATCTGCAGTTAACATATCTAATATCTGTGATGTCTTATTCAATTCACCCTTAGCCCAACACCCTATTTGTTTTGCTAAAGTCATTGCTTTGCTTGCAGCACCCCATGGTAGGAGAGCTGAAACTATCACTTGTTTAAATTTACTCCAAAACAATGGATCTCCTATTTGACTACAGTCTAAGTTATGTAAGCTGCGCCTTTCCCTGCTAGTCTTATGACTTAGTTGCATCAGCACAGATATGTTAGGGTGGAATAATGATAATTTGCCCAAATAACAAGGTCCACCCTGCGGTTGGGCTGGTATTCCATTCCAGGCTCTATCTCCACAAATTAGAAATATTCCTGTGGGTAATTTCTTAGGTGTCATGATGCTAGAGCCTTTACACTGGTTATAAAGCTGTTTGGACACTATTTCCGGGCTTAGAGATGAATCCAGAGTAGCCCATGTCTGTTTATGCTGATTCATCCTTTGAAAATTAGAGTAATCAGAGCTGTAACTCCTCCAAGGCTGAGACAAAGCGTTGACTGATTAATCTGTCTAGCAAGTGTTATCCATACGTTAACTCTAGGTTGACTAAAATGTGCTACCTTTAATTCTTCAGCTACTACTATACTAAGCAATATAACAAAAGTGAACCTCATTTTTCTGTTTTTATATTGACCTTCTTTTTCTTCTCAGTTTTTAACCTTACTGTTCCTGACACCTGAAAACCACACCTTTGTAACCTTCTAATGCAGTTATCTAATGCTTGATTGGGATCTCCTCTTATAGGACCTACAACGGAATGTTGTGTTAAAGGCACCAGTTTTCTACACCTTATCGAGGCTATATATGATGCACTTTGAGCTTTAACCCTTTTCAAAATACACTGTACCTCCCACCGATAATAAGCCAAGATTTTCTGCTCATGAGATTCATAAAGGTCTAAAGCTGAGGCAGTGTTTAGATCCTGCTGAAAAATGAAGGCTCATGCTCTACTGACTCTGCTTAAACTTTATGCCCCAAGAATTACTTTGCTTGTTTTCTCTTTCATCAATAATTCTGAACTGAAAGCAGGACTAGAGTTAGACCATAGTAATAAGGTGCAACTTATCTTGAATTGTTAAGTCTAAGGATTTCTTTACAAAGTAAAGAATGCACAGATGTAATTCTAGGGCATAAAAGAATCTTGTGAAAAAAAAAGTAGTATTTCAGAAAGTAGGTAATAATAAGACTTCCATTAGGACTTCCCAAAAGGCAGACAAGTCAGCAGGTTTAGAAAATGCCTATGTGTATTCATTAGAGTAAGGGCAAACATTTGTCATTTTCTTGACTCTCATATTTTTAAAGCCAACAAACAGAGATCACTAGATAATTAACTTGCACACTTCTGTAAAAGCATGATCTGAGAAACTAAAGCTATTTCCCAGTAAGGAGTAGGACTTACTGTAGTATCTTTTTTGCAAATAAATAGGACCCTAGCAAACAAAAGATGCTTAGGGTTTTTCCATTTTTATCTTTTTACTGGTGTGTTCTGTGAGACAGACAATAAATACCATTGTAAGACCTATTTTTATCTAATAGAAACACTTGGAGCAAAACTTTAACAAATCTTCCTAACAAAAGAGTATGGCTTCCAGCTTTCAGCTCCCAGTAGGAAATAATATTTGATTCATATTCAGAGAATTAATAGCCTTTACAATTGGAGACGGGATGTCACTTGAAGACTCATAACTTTTAAAAAAGTGTTCTGGAAGATACAGACTTAGAAAGCAGCAATAAATTAATGCTCCAAGAATTTTAGAATATATGAAAGTAATTTACAGGATTAGCTGCTTTGAGGAAATTATGCCTAAAATAAATATACTAAACGGAATTATTAAAATAAAGTTAATTTCAGTTACTCATTCATCCTCTGGGAAGTCTAACGAGACTAATTATAGCAGACTTATTTGCAAAACATGTAAAATCACTTAAATCTAATAAAACTTAACAGAATCTAACTTAACTTACTTAATAAGACTTAAACTTAACGGGAGATAAACTTAACAGGACTTAACTGGCTTCAAATCCTACATAACTTAAACCTATATATAATTTAAACTTAACAGACTTCGAACTTCACCGAAAAAAAACTTAATGAACTTAACCTTAATAGTATTTAACATTTAACGGCACTTAATTGATAACTTAACTTAAACTACTTAATACCAGATAAAACTTACTATGAAAATAATATATAGCATTTACTATAACTTACAGGCCTGATTCTAAAATATTAAGCTAAAATAATCTTTCTCATGTTTTTGCTGCAGCAATTTTATACTTAAATACACTTAAACATAAGTTTATTCAAGGTATACCTGTGAAAAAATTCTTTTGAATTCAGTGCTTGCTTTTACATCTATCACATCTAAACAAAGCTTAAAGAATACAAAAACCACAGTCATTACATCTTACTTCTACAATCACTTTAGCACATCCTGAACAATTTTAAATTTTTCAAAACACAGCTTTAGAGTCTGATATTCCACCACCTGAGCTATCCGGGCTTCTGATGTAAAAGTCTCTGCTAACACAGGTGATTCCAAGGCAGCATAACCAATGCTGAGCCAAAATTAACTGAAATTTGACTCCCGCATTCATTTACGCTGATTTCTGTTTCACAGTCTGTGCTGGGAAGATCAAAAATTTCCTTTAACTTCGCTTGTTTACCATCACTGGTTTCTCAATTGCAACAGAGATCTTTCCCTTTTGTTGACAAAAGTTCACAATTATTACGACTGTTAGGTCATAAACTGTAGCTTTTGCCGGCTGCAGGACGGAGGGAGAAACGCTCCCGCCTGAAAAAGCGCTCCGGTCCTGCGGCGCTCGTGTCGGAGCGGGCGAAAACCCCCCCCCCCGCGCTGCGCTCTTTGTTTACTCACTGGCAGGACTGACTCCGCTGCAGGCACCGCTGCACCCGTGGCTTCCCCCGCGGTGGCGCGGTCGCTCCCCCCGCGGCCCTCGGCTCCTGCGGCGCCGGCTTCTTTGGTTGCTCCCCCTACGGCACGCTTCGGTCGCTCCCGGCGCGGCTCCCGGGGCGGCGCGGCTCGGTTCCTGCAGCGGCGGCTTTGATCCCGGGGCGGCGCGGCTCGGCTTTCGCGGCGGCTCCGCTCTCGGGGTGGCGTGGCTCGGCTCCCGCGGTGGCGGTGCACCCGTGCCGAGTTCGGAGTAGCACAGCACCGCAAGCGCCATGAGCTGCGGCTGCTGTTTTGCACTCAGAGACGTAGTGAAAAAGTGCACCGTACATCACCCGCCATGGCTTGCTTAGCTTCTTGACAGTTTTATCACTCTCCAAAGCAGCCTCCCACAATAAATCACCGAATTCACGCCATCCCGTTAAGTCGTAAACCATACGGAAAATCCATTTATCATAGCCGTAAGTCCAAAGTCCTTTTAAATCCTTTTGCCAATTCATCCCCTTAATTTGCCTCTTTTGCAAGAAAGTAATAAAAAGTTCATATGCGGTTTGCCTTTCCATACCTATAGAAGTGCGCACTTTGCAGCTCCTCAAGGCTTCGGACTGCACGTACCAGCCGAGACCCGTCTATACGGTCGCTCGGGGCCGGCGCGTCTCGGCGGGTTTCCTCCACTTTGTTTATTCGCGCTTATTGCCATTCCGCGGCTGCTTCTCGGAACCTGGACAAATCCTCACCTCCCCGTGGCGTTCGCAATCCCTGAAAGCGTTCGCTATCACGTCGGGGTCACCATTTGTTGGACATGAGGGGAGAACGACCATCCTATAATGCATTGAACTCAACTTTATTGATCAATCAATCACCTTAAATAACAATGGTAACGAACTTCATGCATATTCTGTAATCCAATTTCATAATAGGCTAACAGAGAAAACTCTAACCACTCCTCTTGTTTTAGAAACCTACAATTGTTTATTAAAAACAGAACCAGAGTTCCCAAAGCTTTCACATCTGTTCCCAGGGTGTCATCTTTTCCCAGAGACGGTGTTCCGCTTGTTATGGGAAGACAGTCTGAGAACTTTATTGTTTATAAAAAGAGTCTAATTGTTTATAGAAATCAGAAGGCTGAGAACTGCGTTAGGAACTTTACTTTTTCCTTTTACTATTCCCTCAATTGTATGTCTCATGGCCTTTTCCTTTAAGCCATTCTTGAACTAAACTCTCCAACACTGCTCCATCTCCCAGCCCAGCACGGCCCCGGCTGCAGCACAGCCCTGGGGGGATCTCCTTGCCCTTGCCTGTGGCACGGAGGCAAATCCCATCCTGTCCTTGTCCTTCCTCCCCCAGAGAAGGAGCTGAGCATGGAGAGCAGGGAGGACAAATGCCCGCGGCAGAACCTGGTGGCAGAGGCCGTTTTGAGTGGCTCCACGGCACAGGAAGCCAACGAGGAGGAAAAGGCCCGGAGATGCTGCATGAGGAGGGGCTGCAAACGCAGCTGGAGGGGATCTGAGGGGGAAAGAGCCAGCCTGGGCCAGGAAGGCAGCCGGAGATGGAGCCAGAGCTCGGAGCTGGTGCTCCATGAGAAGCTCCATGATGGGGAGAAGCCCCACACGTGCGTGGAGTGTGGGAAGAGCTTCAGCTGGACCTCAAGCCTGATCCTGCAGCAGGTGATCCACTCTGGTGAACGGCCCTATGAGTGTGAGTGTGGGATGATCTTCAGACGGCGCTCTCACCTGATCAGGCACCAGGTGATCCCCACCAGGGAGAAGCCCTACCAGTGTGGGCAATGTGGGAAGAGCTTCAGCAGGAGCTCCGGCCTCATCGAGCACCAGAGGACACACACTGGAGAGAGGCCGTACGAGTGTGCAGAGTGTGGAAGGAGATTCAGCCACTATTCTGCACTGATCGTGCACCTAAAGATCCACACTGGGGAGAGGCCCTACGAGTGTTCCAAGTGTGGGAAGAGGTTTAAGACCAGCTCCTATCTCCTCCTGCACTATTGGATTCACATGGACGAGAGGCTCTTCCAATGCCCTGAGTGCGGGAAGGGATTCAGGGACAACTCCACCCTCATGCAGCATCAACGCATCCACACCATGGAGAGACCCCATGAGTGTGAGGAGTGTGGGAAGAGCTTCAAAAGGAGCTCCTACCTGATCAGCCATCAGATGATCCACAATGGGGAGAGGCCCTACGAGTGTTCCGAGTGTGGGAAGAGCTTCAGCCATAGCTCCAGCCTGAGTGTTCCAAGTGTGGGAAGGGCTTTACGAGCAGCTCCCATCTCCTCCTGCACTATCAGATTCACACAGAGGAGAGGCCCTTCCGCTGCGCCGACTGTGGAAAGGGGTTCATGCAGAACTCCCACCTCATCATCCATCAGCGCATCCACACTGGGGAGAGGCCCTATGAGTGTCCCCAGTGTGGGAAGAGCTTCTCCAGCAGCTCTCACTTGACCCGAAACCAACGGAGGCACCGGTAAGGGAAGCCCTGGGAGTGCCCCGAGTGCGGGAAGAGCTTTGTGCGCTGCTCCAGCTCCATCCCCTACTGGAGGAGCCACTTTGACCACATCCGTGGTCACTCACATTCTCTGTGATCCATGTTGGCAACACACCTGGCTACTTCTCCTTTTCGTTTGGCCTTAATTTTTTTCTCTTCTCCCTCTCTGCAGTCCAAAAGCCAAGAGGGATGGATCTGTCACCTCAAAACCACTCAAATCCCAGTGAAAACTGCTTGATCTTACCCGGAAAGGATTCAGGCCCACATCAAAACGGTTTTTTCCCACCTCAAACAAACTCTACCTCTTTACAAATTCACTTGATTCCACAGCCACTGACATGGCTTAGATGGAGTTGGGAAGAGATTGGGAGATGTGGGATCTCAATTTCAAGTGCTGGGATCTCAATTTCAAGTGCTAGGGACTGGGTGTGTGGGATGTATTTATAGCAAATAAAACTCCCAGACTTACTGCTTTCTCTCTGCTTTCTCTCCCGTCATGTTCAGTCCGTTGCAGGTCTGTTTGCAGAGTGCCGTTCCCAGAGTGTCCCCTCACACTTGGCGCCCTTGGCCTGAGCCCGCCACTTTCCCCTCACGGTTCCGCTCTTTCCCTGCCCCCTTCCTCCTCACGGTTCCTGCCCTTTCCCTGCCCCCGTTTCCCATCACGGTTCCGCCCTTTCCCTGCCCCGTTTCCCCTCACGGTTCCGTCCTTTCCCTGCCCCCTTTCCCCTCACGGTTCCGCCCTTTCCCTGCCCCCTTTCCCCACACGGTTCCGCCCTTTCCCTGCCCCCTTTCCCCTCAGGGTTCCAGTGGGTTATGGGGGAGGAGGAGGGGGAGGAGGGATGGAAGAGGAGGGATGGAGGCGGAGAGAGAGCAGCGATGGAAGGAGGAGAAGGAGGTGGGGTTAGGGAGGAGGAGGAGGAAAAGGGATGGAAGAGGCGGGATGGAAGAGGAGAAGGAGGTGGGGATAACACGGAGGAGCGGGAGGGGGGATGGAAGAGGAGGAGAGGGAGGAAGAGGAGGGACAAAGGCGGATCAAGGCTGAGCTGAAGGCGCAGAGCGGTTTTAAGCCCGGCCTGAATTCGCAGCCCCCACCTGCGGGATCATCGCCCGCCCCCCATCGTGCAGGTGAGCAGTGAGAGGGAGGCCGGCCCAGATATCCCTGCGGGTCCTGGGTTGGGTTTTTGGGGGGACGACTGGAGAATGAACAAGTCCAAAGCTGAGCGGAAAAGGCCCCGCGGGGGGACATCAGGCGCTGCCGGTACCGTTCTGGCGGGGACGCCCTGGGGGGATCTCCTTGCCCTTGCCTGTGGCACGGAGGCAAATCCCATCCTGTCCTTGTCCTTCCTCCCCCAGAGCAGGAGCTGAGCATGGAGAGCAGGGAGGACAAATGCCCGTGGCAGAACCTGGTGGCAGAGGCCGTTTTGAGCAGCTCCACGGCACAGGAAGCCAACGGGGAGGAAAAGGCCCGGAGATGCCGCACGAGGAGGGGCTGCAAACGCAGCTGGCGGGGATCTGAGGGGGAAAGAGCCAGCCTGGGCCGGGAAGGCGGCCAGAGATGGAGCCAGAGCTCAGAGCTGCTGCTCCATGAGAAGCTCCATGATGGGAAGAAGACCCACACGTGTGGGGAATGTGGGAAGAGCTTCAGGTGGAACTCCAACCTGATCCTGCACCAGAGGACCCACACTGGAGAGAAGCCCTATGAGTGTGGAGATTGTGGGAAGAGCTTCAGCCGGAGCTCCAGCCTGATCAGGCACCAGAGAACCCACAATGGGGAAAAGCCCTATGAGTGTGGGGAGTGTGGGAAGAGCTTCAGGTGGAGCTCTAGCCTGATCCTGCACCAGAGGACCCACAAGGGCGAGAAGCCTTATGAGTGTGGGGAATGTGGGAAGAGCTTCAGTGAGAGCTCCAGCCTTGTGAAGCACCAGAGGATCCACACTAGGGAACGGCCCTACGAGTGTGGGGAGTGTGGGAAGAGCTTCAGCTGCAGCTCTTACCTGATCAGGCACCAGATAATCCACACTAGGGAATGGCCCTACAAATGTGGGGAGTGTGGGAAGGGTTTTATTCAGAGCTCCCACCTGATCAGCCACCAGAGGATCCACATTGGGGAACGGCCCTATGAGTGTGGGGAGTGTAGGAAGAGCTTCAGCTGCAGGTCTGACCTGACCAAGCACCAGAGGATCCACACTGGGAAACGGCCCTACAACTGTGGGGAGCGCGGACAGAGCTTCAGGTGGAGGTCTGACCTGATCAGCCACCAGAGGATTCATACTGGGGAGAGGCCCTACGAGTGTGGGGACTGTGGGAAGAGCTTCAGAGAGAGGTCCAGCCTGACCAAGCATCAGAGGATCCACACTGGGGAGAGGCCCCATGAATATGGGGAGTGTGGGAAGAGCTTCAACTTGAGCTCCAGCCTGATCAAGCACCAGAGGATCCACACTGGGGAAAGGCCTTTCAAGTGTTCCATGTGCGGGAAGAGCTTCAGCCAGAGCTCCCACCTGATCACACACCAGATGACCCACACTGGGGAGAGGCCCTACAAGTGTTCCAAGTGAGGGAAGGGGTTTCAGTCCAGCTCCCACCTCCTCCGCCACTATCAGATTCACACAGAGGAGAGGCCCTTCCAATGCCCTGAGTGTGGGAAGGGATTCAAGCGCAACTCCACCCTCATCACTCACCAGCGCATCCACACTGGGGAGAGGCTCTACGAGTGTGATAAATGCAGGAAGAGATTTCTGACCAGCTCCAGTCTCGTCCTGCACTCTCGGATTCACACAGAGGAGAGGCCCTTCCGCTGCCCTGACTGTGGAAAGGGATTCCAGCTCAACTGCAACCTCGTCAAGCACCGGCGCATCCACACTGGGCAGAGGCCCTATGAGTGTCCCCAGTGTGGGAAGAGCTTCTCCAGCAGCTCTCACTTGACCCAACACCAACGAAGGCGCCGGTAAGGGAAGCCCTGCGAGTGCCCCGAGTGCGGGAAGAGCTTCGTGCGCTGCTGCACCTCACGGGTAGTGATTGTGTGGGGCTGGCTGTACAGGATGCATTTGCAGCAAATAAAACTCCTAGACTTACTGATTTCTCTCCCGTTCATGTTCAGTCCGTTGCAGTTCTGGTTGCAGAGTACCGCCTCCCAGAGTGTCCCCTGACAGTTGGCGCCCTTGGCCTGAGCCCGCCCCTTTCCCCTCACGGTTCCGCTCTTTCCCCGCCCCCATTTCCCCTCACGGTTCCAACCCTTTCCCTGTCCCCTTTCCCCTCACTGTTCCGGCCTTTCCCTGCCCCGTTTCCCCTCAGGGTTCCGCCCCTTCCTCGCCCCCTTTCCCCTCACGGCTTGGCCTTCCGGAATGGGGCGGAGGAGGAGGGAGGGAGGAAGAGGCCGAGCGGCGGCAGCACAAGAGGAGAGGGAGAATCTCATGGCCCGGGTGCTCCCTGAAAGTGCCACAGCCCTGGAAGCATCGCCCTCCATTTTGCAGGTGCCCGGGCAGGGGGAGCGCGGCACAAATATCCCAAGGGGGGTTCCTGGGTTTGGGGTTTTTTTGGGGGGAGGTTTGCAGCTGGCAGGGCTCCAAAGCCAAGCCACAGATGCCTCTCAGGGAGACATCGGAGGGTCCCAGCGCCAGCAGTGGGTGCTCCCAGTATGAGCCCAGTTGGTCCCTCCATGTGCTTCCAGTTTCCTCGGCACTCCCAGTGTGAGCCTGGTCATTCCCAATATGGGCCTGTGCACTCCCAGTATAATCCTGGTCACTTCCCCTGCCTCCCTGCAGGATCCCAGTGACTACCAGACGAGGTCAGTCCCTCCCAGTCCTTCCCTATGATGATGCAAATTTCTCACAGCATGGTCCTAGTTCCTCCCACTTTCATCCAGTGTATTCCCAGTTCTCCCAGTTGGCCCTAGCATAGTCCCAGGCACTCCCAGTATGATCCCAGTCTCTCCCAGCAGGTTCCCAGTCACTCCCACTTGCCCCCAGTGTGTTCCCAGTTCCCCCAGCACATTCCCAGTCTGGTCCCAGTCCCACACCCAAATGGTCTGAGACCCTCACACTATATCCCAGTTGCCCTGAACATTCTGGCAGTCATTGCCAGGCACTCCCAGTCACCTCAATGTGGTTTACTTGCCCCCAGTTATCTCCCAGGTTCTCCCAGTTGCTCTAATTATGTCCCCAGTTGACTCCCAGCAGGGCCTGGTAGCTCCCAGTAACCCCCAGTCAGGGTCCAATCACACCCACTCTAATCCCAGTATGATTGTAACCACTCCTGGTATGATCCCAGTCACTTGCAGTCTAATCCCAGTTGCTACCAGACACTCCTGGTACAATTCCAGTCCCTCCAGTGTGATCCCAGTTGCTCCCTGTCAATGCCAGCATGATTCCAGTCACCGTGAGAGTGATCCCAGTGGCTCCCAGCATGGGCCCAGCTGTTCCTAGTGTGCTTCCATCACTCCATTATGGTTACAGACACTCCCAGTATGGTCCCAGTTGAACACAGTTGCCCCTGCTCTAGTCCCAGTCACTCCCCATATGATCTCAGTTCCTCTCAGCATGGTCCCACTCACTCCCAGTTTCTCCCCAGCATGGCCCCAGTTGTTCCCAATGTGATTACTGTTACCCCAGTATGGTGTCCGACAATACCAGTATATCCCAGTTGTCCCCAGCATGTCTGTAGTCATTTCCAGACACTGCCAGTGGCCCCAGTAAGGTGTTAGTTCTCCCAGTATGATCCCCCAGTCATGCCCAGTATATCCCAGTTGCCTGCAGCAGGCATCCAGTCCTTCCCAGTTCCTCCAGTTTGCTTGCAGCATCATCCCAGTTTTGCTCAGTTGCTGCCAGTAGCCAAAAGTGTGATCCCAGTTGCTCCCTTTAAACCCAGATGTGATCCCAGTAAGCTCCAGTTTGATCCCAGTCACATGCCAGCCCTCTCAGCGAGGTCCCAGTATAATCCCAATTGCTTCCCATTTCTCCCAATATGGTCCCAGCTGCCGCCAGCATGGTTCCAGTTGCTTCCTAGATCAGCCCAGTCAGTCCCAGTATGATGCCACTTGCTCCCAGTGCGCTCCCAGTTGCTCCCAATAGGGCTCAGTATGGGGGACGATGTGCAGGGTGTGTTCCCAGTCACTCTCAGATACTCCCAGTATTAGTCCAGTCCCTCCCAGTATGATCCAAAGATGAGTCCAGTGTGCTCCCAGTCTCTACCAGAATAAACCCGTTGTGCTCCACATGGTTTCAGTTGCTCTCTTTCACCCTCACTTTCCTTCCAGTCACTCCCAGTATGTCCCAGTGTAGCCCAGTTCCCTCCAGCATCTTTCCAGTTCCTTCCAGTATGATCCCATTTGCTCACAAGCACTCCCAGTCAGCCTCAGTGTAGTGGCATTCACTGCCATTATGGTCCCTGTCACCTCCAGCATGATCCCAGTTCATCCCAGTATAAGCCCAGTTGTTTCCAATCACCTCCAGCGTGCACCCAGACACGCCCAGTTCCTGCC